TGGAACGAAGTTACGGAAAAAAATCAATTAACAAACGGAGACGTAACAATATGTATCTACAAAAATAACAAATGAAGAGCATACATTATGAAAATAATGAAAATTAATGAACAAAAGTGGCCAGAGGTAGTAAGAAAAGAAAACAAGAGAAAGATAAATGGGGATGAAAAAAGCACTGAAAGAATTTAGAAAATAGTTTAATGAAAAATCAGATACAAGAGAGATACAAAGGTAGGTTGAAGAAGTAATGTGAAAAAAGGTAGAACAGAATATCCAAGAGAATTAGAGAGGAGTGTTTGAGACCAACCTACTGTGCATATTATGAAAGGAAGAAAAAGGTTGCATGCAAAATTTGAGAGAAACAAGAAAACTTATTAATCCATGGATAAGGTTAAGATGCACTAATAACCATATTGGGCAGAAGAAACAGAGGAACTAAGAAGAATGGACATGTATTAGATGCAAAGAAGGAAAAAAATGAACATATTGGGGAGTATGTATTGATGCAAAGGAAAAGGAACAAGGTCTTCAAGTGGATAAGAAAGAAAATAAGAATACCATGAGAAGAACAGATTTGGAAGATGTAAAGGTAAAAAATTTATCAACAAGTTTGAAAAAAAAGATGAGGAGGAAAATAAAAATTTAGGTTACTAGTAATTATTTAAAGATTTAATTCCAAATTTAAGCTTAGTATATAGTTATTATTAATTTAATTTTGATTATGACTGTAAATATATTTGTAAACAAATTATGCACCCTTTCCCATAGAGAAAATTCACTGATAAATAAATTTATTGATTAATTACTTGAACATAATAACTTTTAGAATACATTGAAGTATTACAACATTCAAGCGTTTGTCTACAACATGTATACAAGTACATACAGAAAGTTATTTAATAAAAGTTTGTTAATAAATATTTGCAGCACTCTATTAACTCTGTAAAGTGTACATAAAACTCCTTAAACATCTCGGTAGCAAAAATACCTGCCATGTACTGTATTGTGGTGATAGGCTAAGGCTTTTACTGTATACTTAAAAAAATATTTTATCTGAAATACTAAATTATGTATCAAAATTTGAACTACATACATTTTCTGGATTATTCTGAAAAAAAAAGATGCATCTTTATTTCTTCACTTACCACCTCTACTTTACCAACCATAATGGCAAATGTAATAATTCAGAATATGCTATAATATTTGGGATTTATTGAATTGAGTTGATAAAACAGTAATTGAATTTGAAACATAAACTGGTAGAAATTACATGTAAACACTTGAGAAACAAACTAATTCAATTATAAAGTGTTAATTTACAAAGTTATTACTTTCTTCATAAGTTATTAGAGGATAAAACTATACATATCTTAATATCAATTGTTCTTTCTATTCAGTTAAGTAAACATAGTATTTTTGTAAAATTTAAAAATAAATAAAATTTGAGCTGCAATTTAAAAACTTAAAGCAATCACTTTTACTTAAGCTGTGGATAACCACAGTAATAATAAAAATACCCAAAAGATTGAGCCCTTTCCTCTTTATTTAGAACAAGAAAAAAAGATGAAAAGTTACATGTCAAAACATATAAATATTAATAATCAGTAGTATTAAATATGGTGCTGGAGGAAAACTAATAAATTAAAAAATGAAGATAATGAGCTGAGTGGTAAGGGGATATTGTTAAAGAGAGGACACAATAAAAAATAAAAAATTGGGAATTTGAAAACTTGCAAATAGGAATCGTAGAAAAAAAAGAGTAAAGAAACAAGGCTGGAGATACTGTAGACATTTTACTCAAACTACAAACCTACAAACTATTTTGGCTCCATGCTATTACCTAGAATTACATTTGGTGGAGTCAAAATAGGTATTTGAAGTTTGAGTAAATAATGTCTACAGTATCTTCAGCCTTGTTTCTTTACTTTCTTTTACGATTCATATTTGCAAGTTTTCAAATTCCCAAATTTTTATTTATCTTGTCCTCTCTTTAACAATATCCACTTACCACTCAGCTCATTATCTTCATTTTTTAATCTACTAATCTTTTCCAATCCCTATTTGCAGATTTTTAAATTCTCAATTTTTTGTTTTTCTTGTTTGCTGGGTTTTTTGTGCTCAACTATGGACAAAGGATTACTTGATATGGTAGCTAACTTTATACATTGGAATGATAAAAAACATAGCTAGTAGCTAGCTGATATGGTTCATGATGATTTACTGTAGCTATTAACTATTTGAATCCCATTAGTTTTAGATATAAAATGTTAAGCTGCAGCTGGAGATTGTCATGGAGATTTGTTTGAGAATATAGTAAGCATTTATAGTTTCAGTGTAACCGAATTATCTATATATAATGCATATATATGCAAATATATGTCTAGACTAAGACACAACCCAACTAAGTGCATATGAAATTTTACCAGTAGAAAAACATCCTTTTTAAATAAAACACATATATCTAAAACATCTCTTTTAAATAAACCTTCATGTCTTTTAAAGTAATTATTTTACGAATGTGTGTAACAAAATTTAATATTATGTGTATTGATTATTTTTACTTCTTCACTTCATACATAGTATAAGGAGCTGGCTCCCTAAAGACACCAACTGTATAGTGTACAAAGCATTGAGTATCTATATGTTATAGTCATCTAATGTTCATCTGTTGTTGGCTGATAATTCCTTTTTCACCTCGTACATAAGCTTTTTAAAGGAACACAAGATATATGTATAAAAGCTAACCTCACTTACACTAGAATTATATTTTTTGCTTATATGAAATATAGAAAAAACAAATTGCCTTTTTATACCCCTACAACCTTCACAGTATCTTATTTAGTATTCTACAAAAAGTTTGGGTGCAATGTACCAAGCTGTTTTGGTTGTAGGCTGGCAAGAAAAGAAGAATTACAGGCTGTTTTGAGCAGATTTTCTTTTCCTTGTAAGTCTAAAATACATGCTTTTTTGTGTGCATTTTTGTATGTGTACAGCTTAAGCAGTCAATAATAAAGGTTTTAAAGTATTGTTTGAACTGAATCTTTACTGTTTAAGGTGCTTTTTGCCCGAACGTTCTGTTAGGGTTTTGTGCAATTCCTTGCAATCCCTATTACGAACTGCTATTGTGGTTCATGATAAAGAAAGTTAAAACAGTATAAAATATCAACTTGGAAAATGAAAATGAAATAAGAAAGGAATTGTAACAAAGTAAAATTTTAGAATAAAAAGTGTTTGTTAAAATGCTAGAAATGAATATTTAAAATATAGAGAAATTAGAAATACATATAAAAGAATTATATAAAATCTTATATCACATTTAAGATGTACGCACACACACATATTTACATGTATTTTCATTGCAGTATTCAAATAAATAATTCCAATGCTTCCTGATACTTGTTAACTACATGTATTACACCCCTTTCCAAAACAGTCTTGTATAACTTACTTATATAACTTCTACCCCTTATTCTTTTACATGTACTGTATGTCGTCTTCTTCATCAATCCTGAATGTTGTCCATATGCACCTCAATGCACACACGTTGTCTTGCTTGGTTGGTTTTTCCAGACACACAAGCACTTCTTTCTTTAAGCATTCTATAGGTTTCATTGTATGCATTCATTTTTATTCCCTTTCACTCCAGATGGTGGTGAAATCAAACCTAAAAACATATATTCAGTATAAAAAGCTGGTAGAAACTTTTACCCTAGAAGTAAATTTTGAATAAATATTTACACTTTAAACTGATGACTGAAATTAAAATCTATTATCTAAAAGGCTTAGATACATTCTTAAGATTTTGTTTTAGGTGCCAATGTTGTAAGCAACACACAGATTTACCCTTTACTTGTTTAAGACTAAAGCCAAAGGAACTTGACAGTTTTATGAAATTCAAATGAAAATACAGCTTATCAAGTTAACAACAAGTTTTTATTCTGTCAAAAATGTTATGCCCATAAATTAACTTGAGCTATGAAAAAGTCTAAGTTAATTACTATCACAACACACACACTGAATAAACAAACCTATTTAAACTTTCACCATCCAAAATATGATATAATTTTATCTCAGAACAAGTATGCATTACACCAGTGGTTCTCAACCTTTTTAACTGAATAAACAAACCTATCAAACTTTCACCATCCAAAATATGATATAATTTTATCTCGGAACAAGTATGCATTACACCAGTGGTTCTCAACCTTTTTAACTGAATTTAACCTCATTCACGCAAGTCACCCAGCAATCTGGAGAGAACCAATTATACAAGCTCACAATACTGTCAACTTAGCTACTTTCTTTTATCATTGCAGTACTTTATTCATTTATCTCATTTCATAGCTTTTTGCATCATTATTAATACATGTGGCTTGCATACCATTTCTAGGTCTTTCACATATCATAACTTCCACATGTATAACACATTTCTAAGTCTGTCCTGCCAACAGATAAATCATGCACTCTACTCACCATTTCCAACAGCTAAAAAAATCCTACTTTAATAGCACTACATTAATAACTTTTAACCATTATTACCTATTTTATTACAAACAACCATTTGACATAATGCTTTAAAGACCTTCACTTATAAACAGATTCCTTTCTTTATCATCAAAACCAATGCTTTCCAATGCCTTTGTAGTAGTGAAGAAGCAAACAGTTTTTCTCTTCTCTTTAGAATTTTTCTATATAATGCACTGAACATTGATAAAAATGTGAAGGTGATCTGAACTGAATGTCAGTAATGTACCAAATTTTTGTCATGATGTCAAGAAAACACACACTAGTAAAAAAAGTTAATTAAAGACAAAAACATGGAACACTATAACCAACAGGCTTTCAAAAGGTGAATTTTTCTTCTTCAGGGTTATGTATGAAATTTTAGGGTAGACATTTTAAACATATTCTGAAGAATTATACAGACATTCAGTCTATGGTAGCCAACTATTTGGACACCCTGTGGTAAAATACAACATTTTACTGAAAGGTTACAGTAAGTATGATTTTGGTATCACTTTAAAGTTCAAAATAGATAATTTTGCATATTTCAGTTATGACTAAACACCTTATAGGCTTTACTGTTGCAGATACAACTAAGCCTTAACTAATAATATTAGGCCTAAAATTCAGGTTGTTAAGCATTATGCAAGGGTAGGAGAAAATCAAGAAGGGACATACACCATTTTGAATGTGCAGTAGTAGCTTTTGTGCAGCATTCATATTAAATAGTGTGAGTACATCAGGAAAAACTGTGGTACAGTTGTAGGTTCTACTCTTGAGAAAGTTGTCTAAGATATAGCTAGTCTTTTGTCTAAAACAGAGATAATCAGTTGAGCTGAAGTAGTACCAGGTGACAATGCTAGGGGTTGTGCTAACAGGTGGTGAGCTCTATGTGGAAGCTAGCAGACTCACAGGAAGTACAATAAAATTCATTTACAAATGTTTCCAGTGGACTGTCCCACTGATTCCTCATCTTTCTAAATACACCATATGGTACTTTGTTTTTCAACAATCTTAGATCTAGTGGTGACCAAACTTCTCAACAGTACTGTATAGCATTTGTTCACCTATGAATGTTTCCTGGGATACCTTTTAGTCAATCCCCTGATTGGTTAGTATATGAAGGGTCAGTGTGGAGCTGAAAGTCCCAATTAAAAAAGGCAGTGGCATGATGGTGGATAGCATGGTCTTTACAATGTAAGGCCCTAGTGAAGAATATTACTTATAAGTGCTGTTTGTGCTCTTGTGATGCTACTGAAGCATGTGGAATGTAATAGGGACTCTGTGAGGATGGCTGAAGTACATCCCGTGACCATTCTTAAATAGAGCTGGGTGACTTAATTGATTATCTATAAGCAGCAATTACATCAATTATTGTCATGTAAACAAACTGATTAACTGAAATCATGATTAAGTTGGTTAATCAAAATTAGTGTTTCCAATCATTACTGTTTTCAATTATTCCAACAACTGATTAATCAGAATTACACTTCTTGGCTAGTAGTGAGTAGGAGGCATCTGAAAACATGGCCAGTAATAACCCATGTCTCCAAGAATATTCCAACTTGAAGAGGGATGTTGGAGACAAAGAAACCTTTGGAAGATTCCCAATAAGAGAAGGAAATCTGTAAAGAATCTCAACAGCCTTTGCTAAACTCTGTGACAGTATGGCATGCTGTAATTATAGTATGTATAATTCTACGTACATTAGGATTTTCTTTCTTTTGGCTTAACTTATGATCAACTTTCGTTTCATTCAGTTTACTTTTTATATATTTAATCTATCATTTTCAGGTTTACTTTTACTTATTATGTAATTAATTTCATCAAATTTCATGTGTTTATATTATGATATTTGTACTTATATTTATTTTGTACTTTGTTTTTATGTTTTTTTCATTGCATTATGTCTTTACTCCTCAATATGTTTTATGTATGTTAATGTTAGTACTTGCATTTCAATACATTTTGTACTTTAAATTGTATATTATGATGTACATAACTTTTAATTTTTTATTGAAATATGTAACTAGTCAGCATTTTGTTTTGTACATTCAGAATGTTCAGTTTTGTGAATTTTCTTTGACTTTTGTAGTTGTATTTAGTGATGTTTTAATTATATTTATTCTGATCTTATTCATGAGTTTAGTTTTATATTCAGTTTTATTTACTTCTGTAACATGCCCAGTTTACTTACAGAATTACTCTTTGTCTTATAAGTTCTATTCAGTTCTATGCTAATTTCATTTGTTTCACTCAATCCTGTTATCAGTTGTGCTTATTATGTGATTTTTGTTTGACTTTATATTCTGTTTAATTTTGTATTCAGTTTTATACAAGTAAAAAATTTTGGTTTTATTTATTTTGCAACCAAATTGACATTCTATTCAGCTTATCTAATTTTATTTCACTCTGTTTCATTTAAATCTCATTCTATTTTGGGTTTTAATTTTGTTTTAATGACTGGTGAATCATTCATGTTTTAATAAAGTTTTTTTATTTGTGTAACTGTGATTTGAATGTTTAATGTTTACTTTTAAAGTATGGGCCTAGAAGGCCATGAGATAAAGAAGATGGAGAGCGTGATGATTTGAAAATTTATGAAAGATTCTATAACTAGAAATAATGTATCTTTATTTAGATGTATTTAGTTAAATGTTTTCACGCAGGTATTCTCCACTCAATTATTGATGTCTTTTTTAAAGTAGATATAAAAAAGTTGTGAATTTGCAGTAATTCTATAGCTTAAACACAGATTATATATCATAATGATTGTCCAAAAAGGCTTGTATTTGCTTGGCTCTATTTCCATGTCATCTCCTCCATCACACTCATTTCAAGGGATGATACGGACTTGTATAAATCAGTACGAGTTGAGAATTTATCTTCCTTGACTATAAATGATAAAAATGTTCACTGATGTAGGTATTCTAGGATTGTGGGATACCATTCTTTTGATTTTTGCCTGAAACAAAAACAGTAGTATCATCATCATTCATCAATTCCTGTCTTTGTGTCAAACAGACATTTTGCTGAACTGCTACAGCAACCTCAGAAGTTTATATAATAAACACTGAATCTGTTAAGTATTAGCATAAACCTCACCTTTCATTCACTTGGAAATAAAGATTCAATTTGGCTAAATGTTCAGTGTGAGACACAAACATTAATTATAAGTTCCAGCAATAGCTTAATTTCACTAGCCATTTGTTTTAGTTCAGGATTGTTTCTGTTTATTATCAAAGTATCTTTACTCCTCAGTTCTCTTTCATAACTGGCTCTCTCAATGATTTTGAGCTACATAACATTGAAAACTTTTGTTTCTAACATTTCAGTGATGAAATATTTGAAGAGAAATATGAAGTGACCATACATTCTAGTTTGGCTCCAGTCATGGCTAACATCTTTATGTGCCATTTAAGAAAAAATGGATTAAAGAATGCCAATTTCTTTGAAGCCCATTAAGTGTAATAGGTATGCTAATGATTCTTTTGTAATTTTTGAGAAATCTAGGAATATTTTGAAATATCTAAAGAGTAAAGATACAAATATAAAGTTTAGCATAGAAACTCAACAAGATATTACCTTTTTTGATACTGTTGGTAAAAATAAATACATGGATTATTTTGATGATGGGGGTTTATCACAACCTACTTTCACTGACTTATATTTCAATTGGGATAATTTTATTCCAAACAAATTTAAAATTTAAATCCATAGGGCCTATCATATAGCTTGTAATTCATATTTGTTTAAGCAAGAAGTGAATAATATCAAAGCATTTGTAAAGAAAAAATTATTTCTGGTGAATTAGAAAATGTTGATAAACAATATTTGAATGAAATTTCCACCGTTAAGAAACAGAGTTGTATAGTACCTAAAAAAAGAAGTTTGTATGATTTTTACCTTTCATTAGTTTACATGGACTAAAACTTAAGAAACAACTGAACAATTTAATTAAGAATTAAGGCTTACACTAAAGAACAGTTAAACTTAAAGATCACTGAAAGAGCCAGACATGAAAGATAACTACAATGTAAATAACTATTGGGTAGCTGACAACCCAGATAGCAGACAAAGGATCAGCCAATTCTGGCAGTTAATGTTGTCCAAATCGCAACTTGCGTATTGGTCCTCTGTTTTGAGTTGTGTTGATATTTTGGATCAGGCATGAAATTTGGCTGGAAAAGTTAAAGCCTAGTAGCCACTCTTACCCCAGAATTTTTCCTGGTTATGGTACTACAAATAATATTAAGTTTTATTTCTTACACAAAATGTGTCTTTACCAATTATGGAATTCTCAGCTGTTCTGAAGGATGAAGAAGCAATTAACTGAATTTGATTTATAGTTACTTAAATTACAATGATTTTGAATGTGTATATTTCAGTTAAATTAAAGGTATTGTTGACCAGATAATACTATTATCTTTTGTCAATATTGTTTCTAATTTTAACAACTTCAATGGGTGTTAAAGTGAAAATACACATTTTAGCCATATATAAATGTCTTCAATACATCCTAACTTGTTGAAACTAGTCACATTCCCTATTTCAGGTTAATCTGTAAAATATAACATGGCCACATAATGTGTACTCCTTTTTTTTACTATACATTTTGCCTTCTCAAGAAGAAAGTATAATAATTTTGACTAATTATTTTTCATAATCTGTAACATATATTAAACTGCCATTTTTTGTGTGATGTTATTATGTGCTAGATTTGTAAAGAAATATTCCCCAGCTGATCCCTGGTAAATTTACAGCCTTACAACACTAAAATCCAGGTTCCAATTCCAATAGATGGCCTATTGTGTAGCTTTGCCCTAAAACAAACTGTTAAACATAAGAACAGTAGTACTAAAGCATTAATAACAGCTGTGGCAACATCTATAATTTGGCAAAAGTTCAGTATTGTACATATATGCCTTTTTTTTCTTTAACACAGCTGAAGTCATTGTCATGACTCAAGGTAACTCCTGCTCTGTTTTTATCTATCCCTAAAGTGCTAAAAATATTTAATGTTATTGCCTTCGCAATATACCTAACACTGATTGGAATTATTTAAACACAAAACTTCAAACAAATTTGTTAGAACATGATGTTTAACAACTACAGATTATTTTCATTCTTTTCAAGGAATGGATTATATTATATTGTAGTTTTGTAAAGACTCTGAGTGACTTGTCTGTAGAACTTATATGTTGGGGATAAAGCTGGAATAACCCCTGAAGTAAGCCTTAGGCTTAGATGAGGAAGTTAAAAGTAGAATTAGTAACAGTACTACTACTATTACTACTCAGTGGTAGAACTTTAGATAGAACTTGATTTGTACCATAGAAATTAGTGACTGAATTACTTGATGTTTGTCTTCTAAAGAAACAAACATATTGACGGCTATTAAATATTTTCTTTTTTTATGCAACTGAAAACTACTTACAATATATTACGCGTTATTTGTATTCTTTTTCTCGATTCCTCAAACATTACTGCTAGTCTGGTACAAGTTACAACATCCATTATGATTAACACTGGTAGCAGTGAAGAGCCTTGCGTCATGAAATCGCGCTAGCTGAAGTAATCAGCTGATTGTCCGAAGGCACAGGTCCCGGTTCACATTACGTGCCATAGGAGTTATTCTGATTCTCCAACAAACAACGAGTCGTGCGTTTGGATAGGACCTTCGTGAGCCCAGTTCTGCAAAACACAAAGAAGGCGTGTGCGATCGATTGTCTCTTGCAACAAGTAAGAAACATGGTCACAACATGAAAATTTTATAGATCACATATTTATTTCATGACGCAAAAGCATAAATTTACCTAATTTTCTTTAATAATTCTGCATTAATTATTTTCTAAAGTAACTGTCACTTTATTATTCAAAGGTTAGACGACACTTTGGAACGCAAAGATGCACAAAGGACTATAGTTTACCTACTTCAGGGATCGAACGGCGAATTTTAGCGTTATAAATAATCGACCTTACTGCTGAGCCACCAGGGGCTTTAAGAAAAAGAATAATGCTACGATTGATTATCACTTATAAGTTGCAATCGTATTCTCGTGTGGAAACCACAACTACTGGCAAAATTGCACATTAACAAATGTAGTCAAACATTAAAGATTTTAATGGTTGGGAAAAATATATACATATTTGTACAATGAGACGCAAAGATTTTAGAAAATAAATTCGATGGACAAGATATGTAATAAATACTAATGCAGTGTTACTTACGTATCAGAAACATAGGTATATAGTGAATATCCCAAAGTGCCAAAGATAATAAAATATGTCGTTCATTTTTTAAAGTTCAAAGTCATGCATGGTATACCGAACGTATTGTTACGACAGCGGAAGTCACGTGACTCTAGTAACACGTCATGAACTTCTAGAAGGATCCTGTCTCTTCCCGAAGTCTCGAGAGGCTACTAGATATGCGGTAGTTTTGTATATATATAAGCCGCCAAGAATTGACGGCAACAATGTGTAACTGAACTGGGGACAGAGAGAGACGCATTGTTGAGTCGAGCACGTGAGACCTTCGTTGTGAATTATAGTGTTTGTAATAGCGTGACTGTGGAAATTAAGTGTATTGCAAAGTTGCATTTAGAAAGAATAAACCAGTTTTATCTAAGAAAGTATCTTCGGAAAGAAATTATACGAAAAATTAACTAACGAACGGAGGTGTAACAGTATATTAAAACAAAAATATGACTTTTATATTCGAAAATGATAATAATTTTAATAGTATTCTTTGCTCAACGTTTCAACTACTAGACACACACACAATCAGAAATACGCGAAATTTAGATATTGTTGCGTCATCGAGATCATGTGATTCTCACGCTCTCTACTTTCTAGAATTATCCTGTACTTTGGC